AAAATACAAGAGGTTTTGTCCATTCTGTCCCAATGATATTGAAGACGAACAACATTTTATTTTGGATTGTCCACTATATAACGATAAACGCACAAAGCTGTTCAACCTTCTCTCCGCTTGCTCAACAGAATTTGTTACATTTCTTGCTATAGATAAATTTCATCCTAGAAGTTGATAATTCTTACTGTATACAGATAGGTTAATGTATCAAAGAACCTTAGAACAAGTAGTATTAGCTGACTCATCTATTGTTTTGTACGTAGGTTAATTTCGTTGTACCCATGTATTGTCTGTATGTCTCATGTAGTTTAAGACCTTACCGAAGTCGCTGTACTTTTGTTGCGTCAATAAAGTTCATCATTATCCACATTTATCGCAGCGGTATTTGAATTGTTGCAAAATTAGTCCTAGAGGTAAGTGCGGTATTGGCCGTAACTTCTTGTGTTCTTCTTCTTCATCTCTATAGTTATTACCGGGCAAAACAAGGCCGAGAACCGCCCTGCGACCCAGTCGAGTACTGCATTAGGAGGAGTCGCTAGCCGCGCTGTGGATGGAAACAGATTTTCCCGCTTCTCGGGTAACTCCTGCACCCACACGCAAACGGAGTCGAACCCGTGGTGGCGAGTCGACCTGGGCAGCAGTCAGTGTGTGGCCTGGGTGCGCATCTACAACCGGGAAGACTGTTGCCAGGAAAGGCTGGACGGCTTCACGGTTCACGTGGGCGACAACCCCGACGTGCTGGCCAACCCTACCTGTCCCGGGGGACCGTTCTCCATCAGCAGACGCACGAACAATAAGGGGATAAACTGTGGCGGACTGACCGGCCGATATGTGGGCGTAGCTCTGAGAGGCTCCGGAAAAGTCCTGACACTCTGTGAGGTGCAGGTCTTTGGAGGTACGTCTGCATTAAACCCACTAGACTTCTGTTGTTCTTCGTTAAACTATGTCATTTAGGTCACATCATAATCAAACTGGATTAAACTTTAAAGGTGTCCAATGCAGTTTTAGGGTCGTAAAATTAGATATTAGGCCAATATTCAAGTTATAAATAAAACATACTAAGTTGTAGCAACACTACCCCAATATATACCGAGTCTACTGTACCAGAACCGTGCCTAACCCTAAAGTTCAGGTATAGTACTAGATAGACACAGTTCTGGATACGATAATAGTCGGAAAATAATCTGTCGTCAGAATTGACGTAGATTTTCATTAATGACACAGCTCCCATGTAAGTTTGTTTTAATCCTCAAAACGTAACGTGTTACAGAGAGTAGGGGCCGGAAGCGAGGAGGATATTATGGAGCACTCACAGGTACAGGTAAGGAAAGTTTAGTTTCCCTTGGAATATATAATGAAAACAAAGCAATGCATGGAACCCGGAAAAATGTAGAACAAAGCAGACCGTAAACCAATCGACAGGAGCATAGTTTCAACCCATATCTACTCTTAAGCGTTATTGTACAAATAAGGGAAGATGTCTTGTCGTGTGTGCGTTTGCCCCTCCTCTACACACGCACACACACGCGCGCGCGCGCACACACACATATATATATATATGTGTGTGTGTGTAAATATTGAATTTTCCTTGCAAACTGTAACATTTCTAGTTTAAACAGTTCTTTCTTGTGACGTCCATTGTCATAGTTGAAGTTCTTGTCTGCACAGTTTTAAGTCACCCCCCCCTCCCTCTGTCCTACAGGGGCCCAGGACAACGACTTGGAGATGGAAGCCTTGGAGGAAGACGCCTTTGAGGAAGACGCCTTTGAGGAAGACATCTTGGAGAAAAAAGCCTGGGAGGAAGAGGCCTTGGAGGAAGACGCCTTGGAGGAGGCAGCCGAGATCGAAGGCTTGAAGGAAGAGGTCTTGGAGGAGATAGAAGCCTTGGAGGAAGCAGCCTTGGAAAAATAGGCATGCCAGAAAGGCGTCAACAATGGCTAGTGACGCCCACGATATTGTGGCTTAAACTTCAAGTGTCTACGCTTTAAGTAACTTTCAGTAACTTAACTCTCAAGGAACTTTGAATTAGTGATTCCATGGCAGCGGGTTAAGACACTGCAGTCTTGTCTTAACCTCTAAGTCACTTGACACTCCATGACTTAACCCTCAAATGACTTAGTTATCCAGTGATTTGAATTGAAAGGGACTTAAGAGAAAGTACCAAGTAGGGTTAATCATAATTCCTCAAAAGTCTGACATACTTTCATATGCACAATCATTATTGTCAAAGAACAGACGTTACTATGACAAACCCACACACAAAAGTCGGTAGATAACTTGAGGATTGAGCATACAATAATTCTAAGAATAAGCTTAGTTTTTTTTCTGTTTGATTAAGATCTCCATTGGTGTTATTTAAATTTTACACTATTCTTCCTGGAGTCCTCAAGGGTGATAATGTAGATCTGCCTGGATCACTTCACGGTGCCGAAAATCCTGCCCTGTTCGCCAGGCCTCCATCCGGGTGATTTGTAGTGAATCACCAACTTACAGATAGTAGCTTTTGGACCATCGCACACCGGGGCATGTCCCTACTCTTCTGCGAAAGGTGTAGATCGAACACTACTCAACCCTGCAATCTTTTTTGCAACAAGATTTATATTGGTTTAAACATTATTATAAGGAGATCAGATGCACACATGGACACACACACACATACATACAAACACACACACAAACAGACAAACATACACACACACACAATAAGTTTTACACACAAAACGCAATACAAACTAATAAAGAAAGGGGCAAACACAGGGAAGTTTGAAATTTCAGATGTTTTGGTGGATTTTAGAGTAAAGAACTGCAATTTTAACAGAAGAAATTGGACGTACCCAAATTTTCCACAGCTCATTAATTGACAAAGACTGGGGTTCTTTGCTTACTTACTTACTTTTGTCGAGTCCAAACTTTCAGAAATCACCAAGACTGTCCAAAACTTGGTCCAGTTTCTTGTGTTGGAAACTGCAGTTCAAACTTGATTCACGAATACTAATAATGGTAATAAAAGAGGTGATCGGTTAAAATGCCTGGCTTTGTGTCCTTTATTTTGGAATCTGTGTCAAGAAAAGACTGTAGGGCAGTGACAGGCCTTATATCAAAGTAATTAATGTTAAGCCAACTGGTAATTATACGTAATTAGTGGAAAATAGCTTTGCTAATGAGATAATGGGCTTGTGGAGGACGAAAAATCACAGAAAAACGCTGATTCGTGTAAGTAGCAACGCCCCCCCCCATCCCCTAGCTGTTCGGACATCAAGGTCAGTTTTTTTCCCCTACTCGTGTTTAAATGTTTGACCATCCGTTGTAACCGGAATCGTACTTTATTCAGGCTCAGGCACTGTTCTAGACAGGCAACACTCATCCAGAACCGTGCCTGGGACATATCTGCGTTCTCGGATACGCGGGGGCTATTTAGAACCGTGGTTTAGCGTAACCCAACCCCATTTAGGAATAGTGAGTGTGAAAGTTGACAGCATTTTTATAAGACTAGTGCTCGCTCGCTCGGAAATACCAGCACAGCCATGGATCAAGACACACCTACTCTTCAAGCAGAGGTTTGGGGTTTCGGGTTATTTTTGGCATTGTTTTTTTTTTACTTTTGTATCTGGGTTTCTTTTTTTTCGCACTGGAATTTTTCTTTCACCCAACCCAAAGAAAAGAAAAATTCCAGTGCAAAAAAGAAACCCAA